CACAGCAATCTACAAGTTCTTATTCTCCTCATCAAACTGGTATAGCCGTACGCTATTGGCGAACTATTTTTGACAATGCACGGGCTCTTTAATGATTGTCAAAACTACCAGAATCTTTTTGGTAAGGGCATTTGATGCTGTAGTATACACAAGAAATCGTGTACTAACATCTGCTATTAATGATGATATAACAACCTAAGAAATGTTTTTTGGAAAGCAACCCAGTGTTCATCATTTAAAATTTTTGGTTGCTTATTTATATCAAAAATTGAAACCCACCAGCAAAAATTATTACCCAAAGGTAAAAAGGCAGTTTTAACTGGTTCTGACGGTTCAAGGCTTGCATATTCTTTATATGATTTTGTGAAAAATTAATTTTAACGCTCTCGGATTGTGACATTTCACGAAGAACAATTCCCACTCTCGATAACGGATCAAGGCCTGCTATTGTGCTGCCTTTTCTGGGCAATGATCCACTGCGGTACTGGCACAGATTCAGTGGGGGTCAATAAGGCACAAACAAGTGCAACTGATGCAAATGAAGTTTTGCCTACTCTTGAACAGCCGTTATCACCGACAGGGGGAGCTCTTTCTACAAATATTGATAGTTATTAAAGAGTATATTCAGCATCTAGTCCTCATAATGTGCAAATGGAGGTTCAAGATACTTCAATCTACTTCGATACATGTGAAAATTACACAACTCACGATTATTTTGATATATTTGATGCCATTGAGTCTTCTCCTCACACTCCAACTGCAGAAAATCTGCAAAATACTCCATCCCCCACTCCTGACGGTTCGATATTTTTGATGAGAACAATCTGTGAATCTAAATGAAGAGAACAATCTGTGAGTGATGAAGAACATTCTACTGCTTTGAGACTTGACATTCTTACAACTAATAGGACTGGTCGGATGATTCGAAGACCTGCATGGCAGTAAGATTATGATTTTTCTACTGATGAAAACTGTAATTTTGCAAGGGCTGTTGGCGTGAATGGTAATGTTCCGCTTATTTATGAGGAAGCAATTTTGTCAGCTAATGCTGAAAAACGGCAAGCTGCAATGCAAAATGAATTCAAAAATCTTGTAGAAAATAAAACATGGGATCTTGTGGATTTACCTTCCGGAAAATCATTAACGAAAGGCAAATGGGTTTTTGATAAAAAGCGTTAAAGCGATGGTTCAGTTGAACGATATAAGGCAAGTTTTGTGGCTATAGGATTTAGTCAAATTTATGGACAAAGTTATACTGATACTCTTTCTTCTACTATTAGTATGACAGTTATTCGCTCATTATTTGCCATTGCAGCACGACATGGTTTAAAAAAGCGACAAATTGATGTCAAAACAGCTTTTTTGATTTCTACTTTAGAAATTGAAATTTTCATTGAGCAACCTCGTGGTTTTGAGTCTGGTGAACGTGATCTATGCAAGCTCAATAAATGTATTTACTGTTTAAAACAAGCGAGTCGAGCTTGGAATTAGTTTCTAACAAAACGTTCTGTTGGAACTTGGTTACTTTAGAATCTCTGTAGACACCTGTTTGTTTTATCGTCCTAAGAAAATGAGTTTCATTGCTGTGTATGTTGATGACATAATAATTTTTGATGTTGACGAAATTTCAATACAAGAGCTGATTTCCAATCTTGGTAAGCGGATTATTATTGACAATGAGGGCGCTCCCGAATGGTTCTTTAGAATAAAAATTCACGTTGGTGAAAAAGTAATACTTTCTCAAGAAAAATACGTCAAAAATTTAATCGAAAAATGGAATATGCAAAACTGCCTACCGGTTTATGAACCTGTGGTTACATCTAAATATGCAACTGATAATAAAAGTCTAACAGATCGTTCTCTTTTTCAGCAGTTCGTGGTGGCGTTGTTGTATTTAGCTGTAAAAACTAGGCGGAATATTGCTTTTGCAGTCACTTACTCTCAAGCGTGCAAAAGTTCAACAGTGCAAGATTTTATTGCAGCAAAAAGAGTAATACGCTATATAAAGGGCACGAATTATTTCTTTTCTTATTCACGACATGATAATGGTCTAGGTATTTTTGCGTACAGTGATGCCGATTGGGCAAGCGACGTAAAGACCAGAAAATCTGTATCTGGCATGGTTATTAAATTAAATGAGTCAGACTCTCCGGTATTTTGGCGAACTGGTGAACAATTTTCGGTATAAATACCTACAAGTGAATCGGAATATATGGCTCTATCGGCCTTGGCTCAGAAAGTTTTGTTTCTGAAGCATGTATTCGAGAGTGTTAACTATAAAACTACCCTATTTTGTTTAGTGAAAACCAAGGAGCAATCTGTGTAGCTTCTGAAACAGCTTCAAGATCTTTGGCCAAACATATCGACATTGAAGTACACTTTGTTCGAGAAAAAATACGCATTGGTAAGATGACGTTAAAATATCTTCCAACTACAATTATGGTTGCGGATGTTCTGACAAAAGGACTTCCACGTTTTAGTTTGGCGCAGATATGCAAGCTACTATTTGGAAGCTTCTTTTGAGGCGGAGTGTTGAAGTACTTGTCTGTGATTGATCAATTTTCAGACATAGTTGTTTGAAACCAAAAGACTCTGAACGAAACTGTAATTGCTATATCCGAGAAAGGGGTGAAACAATTTTGACTTATGACTTTCAACTTTTTAAATGACATCAAAAATAATGCGGTTAAAAAAAGGTTGTTTTTGGCTTAAACCACTTTAACGGAAAATAAATGATAAGAAATTCTTTCTATTTTTAAACATCGAGACGTACTATTATAGGAGCCTAGTCGATAGTTGTATGATCTGTAGCGCATTGTTGAGTTAAGGATGTCACGACACATCACGTTTTTTTTTACTGCAATGGTACAATGTCCTGAAGAATTGCAAGTTTTTATCCCTTTTGATCGGGTTTGCCTTGAGAGAGTCCGGAAATGGGTGTCACGATTGTGGAAGAAGTCTTCCCATCTTCGGTTTCTAGATCCTTCCAACTGGTGTAGAGAACGCGACAATATAAACACTTCTTGCTCTGACATTTTGAAACACTACATTAACAAGGAGAGAAAACGAGTGAAGAAGATAAAAAAAACTGACAGTATTAAAAAATGAAAATTAAGAGTAGAATTGCTGTTTTTTTTTCGCTGGAGAAGTTTTCTGGATAAAAATGATTTTGTATGATTTTTTATTGGTTTAATGATTTATTTTGAGGTTATTCCGTATGAAGCAGAACTTTTATACACTCATCCTTGGTTGTACGAAAGCTAAATTTTTTAGAATAGATTGAGAATGCGTTAAAATCGTAATTTCAAACAAACGTTTTCGCACATTTTTATGCATCTTCAGGTTCTAAAAATCTAAACTATCTTTACAAAAAGGTCTAAGATCATAAAAAGTGTCATCCACATCACTTCTCAAAAATAAAGTTTTCAACCAGTCACTAATTTTTGAGTTTTCACCTTTTTGTTTTTACAATTTCGTTTTGTCGCTAATGCTATTTTCATGCTAACTGTGCCAGTCGGTCATATTTGGAAGTTTGACCTTGAGCAACGTTTAGCCTTGATTTTGAGGTGAAATGCAATTTTTCAAAAATTCGAATTGAGCCTGTCATGCTCAAGTTTCTCGCGATAACTGAAAATACGAGAGAATAAGATCAGAAGAATCTCGAACGAGAGTAGAGCTGTCTTATTCTTGGCAAAGGATCGAGAGTAACCAAGAACAAATAGAGAAGGAGATCGAGTGGACGAGAGTGAACCTTCTGTGCAAAAGTGGACTGCTGAAGCTGCCCAATGGTCCAAATAGAAAACTTGTGTCTTGAGTTAAAACTTGTTCATTTGAAATTTCTTGAGTTAAACTTGATTACCGGATTAATTTTAGAGTTGCTTTATAATTTAGTTACTCAATTCTAGAGTTCGTGTGGGTATTTTAGTACCCAATTTGAAGCTCTTGAGTGTGTTTTACATTGTTAAGTTGCGTTAGGGAGAGTTTCAGATTGATCCATCTGGAATGGGTCAAAGGTCCACTGTCTAACAAAAAATAACTATACGTAAGGCTCCGACCCTATTTTCGACGGCGTTCGCGTGTTTTAGGTATTTTGAGATCTGAGCATGGGGGCGTTCGTATTTCTAGAGTGGGGGTATTTTGGTAGAAGTCTTTAAGCTGTAACATGGTTTGTAGTCTCATGTCAGAAGTGAACCGAATTGGCTCCGACCGCTTGAGGTAGAAAAACACAAGAGGTAGTGTCCCTGACTCTTGAGCAAATGGATATATGGCCGATTTTTCTTTAACCTCCTATGTGACTTAAGTAGGCGACTGTTACAAACATGTAAGTTATTTCATTATTGTTTGTTTTAGTAAACTTGCATCTGTAAACTTTGCGACAATCCGATCTTCGGGAAATTTCACCTACTCACTAGTTATGCCATACAACCTGGAACGGAACTGGACAAAGTGCTACAGCTCTACTATAACCCTCACATGATACTCCAAACTCAGTGAACTATGTGTGCTCTAATGTCTATTCTATGCATTGCTTTTGCTTTATAGATATGTTTGTTTAATACTGTCTGTCAAGACGTAATTCAATTTCTCTCATTTTTTCTTTTAGTCAGAGTTTTTCGATTCTGGAACTATATCGTTTTCCATGACAACAATTTTGTTTTCGGTTCTAAGGGAATTTATTTAAGCTCCGCTCACTCAGTTGTCGCTTGTTAATTGTTTTGAAAGTTTTCTTTAATTGCCGTCGATTGTGCTTCTGGACCTGTTTTCCGGAAAAAGAACATGATTCCTAGATAATGGTTTCTGAAGTGGTTTTTCTTTTTTTAAACTCATTGCCTTTCTTTACTTGTCTGCTAGCTTGCACTGCTATTATTATCTTGTATCGCAAGTAGTGCGAAGCTCTGCTTCGCCTCTGTGTATCTAATAATACTTATTATTGAAAACTTGATAAAAATCAAATAACACCATTAGAACATCTGCAGCAAGTGGTTGATTGTTTCAGACCATATGAAAATCTAGACGCCTTTTTGTGCTACTTATTTGAAATATCATTTCCGAATAAGTTTACCTGGAAGTTTACCGAGAATAACTACTGTAATCAAATCAATTATTTGTATGAGGTGACAATGGAGTTCGGAGAGTTGGAACGGAACGAGGATTTGGAGCGTGTTGCGTTCGAAAAGGATCTTGAAGGTCAGTATTTCAGATTAAAATCAGTACCATTTAATTTTTGCTTTACAGTTATTGTTTTGCAGCCCAAAAATTTACTCAATATCCGTGAATTTGCTTTAAGAACCTTTTTGCAAAAGGAAAATTAAAAGAACCTCGATGCGGTATAGAGCATGCAAATTGTATTAAAAACTTAAAATTTTTGAGTTATTACCGGCAAGAATTGAACATAGTTCTTTTAAGGAAATATCCTTTTGTTATCATAGTTTCAAAACCTCATTATTAAATCAAAATTTCGAAATAGTAAGATACATTATAGGGTTATAAATATTTAAAAGTTGAACCCTTTGGTTAGAGGCTGCTACACAACCCTCTAAGAGTCAGGATTTCTGTGCAAAAATTACCCTCTTAAACCTTCTAGTTTTCGAGATTACTTTTCTGAGGTAATCATTGTAAGAAACACTTGGAAAAAATACCGAATTTTTTTTCGGTGTTTGTTGTTTTTCTATCTCAACACAATGTAGCCCATTCACCTCAAGTGGGCAATATGTGGGTAATAAGGCTGTGCGATGCAGCCTTTTATTTAAATTGATGCGATGACGATGCGTTGCGGAAAAATTCATCGAAATTCGATGAATTTTCGATGCGACGCAAAATTTGAAACAGGGAAATTTTTTTTTATAGCTGTAGCGCATTTCTTAGAAAAACTAAGTTAGAAGGCTATTTCCAATCACTCAAGTGTTAGCTATTCACTTTAGATAAGTTATTAATGACGTAATTAATGTGTAAACGCGTTATAGCTGTAGCGCATTTCTCAGAAAAACGCAGCTGCCAATCATCAATCATCGAGTAATTTTTGCATCGACGTTCGATTCGATGACGATGAATGCCCTTGCATCGATATTCGATGCAAAATCGATGCATCGCACAGCATTAGTGGGGAACCTGTAATTTGTGTTGTTTCTTCGTGGTTTTTTCAAACTTTGATTTATTGGGTTGAAAAACATTTTTTTTCTTTAATATGTGTTAAATGATATTATTGTGGCAGCTAATTAGTGTGGTCATGCTACGGATTAATAATAATTTTTGTATCTGCTCGTCGATTGATGTTTTGTTTTGTTGTTGCTCTTTGTTAATTTAATCTTTTGTTATTAAAGCTATATTCCCTTACAGTATAAGAGCAGACGCCTGGTGGATCCCATGATCCTGTTGTTTATCTTTTCCAGATTTTGTTGCATGATGTATTATTTGGTTCATTTTTTCAGGAGAAATAAATTCTTTCTTTACTGTATTGCGAGTTCAACTTTGTATTCTGGTGTTTTTTTTTTCCACGCGAAATGAAGTACCATAAATAATCATCGGAATGGGTCGAAAAAAACCGGTTCGAAATTTTTGACTTTTGGTCTAATTTCGAGCTAATAAGGTCAGTGTGCAGGCATAATAAGCTTGAAAAATTAGACTTCTTTTCGAGCAAAGTTAGTTTTAGAACTTTTTAGCGCCATTGTAGGAACAAGAATTTTCAAAAATTCGAAAAAATTGTAAAGAAGATTTTTTTAACGTTTTGTCGTTTTCTACAAAAACTGTTTTCCAATTGGCCTATTTGATTATGAATGTCAATTGTGCCTAATTTCTATTTTTCGTTCAGATTTTTTATCACACAGCACAGAAAAAGTGGGCACCAGTGGACGTAGAGAGGGAAGGGCTGTAATGGTAAAGATCTCAAAATTTAATCTCTTGCGAAAGTCAATATTGCATTGCGTATTGCGTATGGTTGTTGCATTGCGTATGGTCTCAACTCAATTGATTAATTTTTTGTTGCCTCCAGAAATTGGATCTACAAGCAGGAAAGCGCAGATGAATGCTGGTACTAATGAATGCAACGTGTGCGGCAAGTTGTTTAAAAGAATGGCAGAATTGGAAAGACACATGCGAAGTCACACAGGAGAGAAACCATTTAAGTGTGAGATCTGCGAGAAGAAATTTAGCCAAGAAAGTGTTCTTCGATTGCACAGAACAATCCACACCCACAGTGGAGAGCGTCCCCATGTGTGTGATATATGCGGAGAATCATTTAACCTTCTACAATATCTCCAAAGACACAGGGATACCCACATCAGAGAAAAGCAATTCGTATGCGATGATTGTGGTAAAAGATTCTTAAGAAGAAGTGACGTTGAAAGGCATAAGCGAACACACACAGGAGAGAAACCCTTTGCTTGTGTTTTATGCGAGAAGAAATTCAATCAAGAAGGTAGTCTTAGAATGCATTTAAGAGTTCACACTGGCGAGCGACCTTATACGTGTGATATATGCGGGGGAAGATATACATCAAATTCAAGTTTCAGAAAACACAGGAAAGATCTTCACTCGGAAAATCACGGCGGAGAGAAACCAGAGAAATTCGAATGTGATGAATGTGGGCGAAAGTTCGCTCGGAGAAGTTCCGTTGAGAGACATCAGCGCACACACACTGCGGAGAGGCCTTACTCGTGTGAAAAATGTGGCAAGAAGTTCGCACAATCTGGTAATCTTAATGTACACATGAATATACACACTGGATTGAAGCCATACCAATGCCACATCTGCCAGCGAACATTTGGTCAATACTCAACTCTACGAAACCACATGTTAGGCATTCACAAAGAAAGTCTCAAAACCGAGAAGGAATTATTGAAGATGAGTCATCGCGACGGAGCAGGTCTAACACAGGATAAACAGAGCAGCATAACGCAAGTTCCATGCTCCTCGCAGGAGGCGGCGTTGAACGTTGAATCTTTTGACGAAACAGAGTCGTCATTGCACATTCCAAAGGTAGAACCGGGTTTCCAAATCGAATCGATAAGATCAATCGGGCAAAGTGAACTCCAAAACAACCAATCTTGTTCAATAGTTACTACAGAAGCAGAAAATCATCACGATATAGAAGTTGACTCCGTCAATTTGGTTACCGAGAAAGAATATCCAGTGAAATCTGAATTATCGAAGTAATAGCCGAAAGTATTCATTAATTCATTGCGAGCTGTTTGATCTATAAATCTATAAACTAGCATCTTTTTCCAATATAGTTTCAGCAATGGATCTTTTTCCAATAAAGTTTCAGCAACTGCTTCTGGGTTGTGTTTTTGTTGTTAAGTTCGAGATTGAAAACTGAATATCTGACGTTGATAGTTCTGTACTAAGGCAATTTTGCTATCAAGGAAACTTTATTATCAGTCTTTTTACTATCAGGTCTGACATCGAAATGAATATCGAAACATGATCATGAGCGTTTTCACTATATCCAATTTTAGACTTGCAATTGTAAACAATCCTTTTTTTTAGTTTTGCTTATGGGCTATAAAAGAATTGCACATTCTACTTTGCGTCTATTGTTCCGGCCATTGAAAATCGGGAGGAACTTTGTATTCGGATGTGTTAGTTTGTTGTGTTAGCTGAGAAATTTTAGTTCAATATCGAACGAAAAACTCAATCATCGAGGTTCACAAAACTTGATTTTACTATCAAGAAAACTAGGTTTAGATGTTTTTTTCAGCGCTTTTTTGACAATAGAGATTTAAAAAATATATTGTACAATAAGAAACAATTTTAAAAAAGCACGTCCAGCAAAAAAGTTCAAGCTGGACGTGTTCCAAAATTGAACATCATTCGAGGCAAAATAATGAAATTCATGTAAAGGTGGTTCTTTTGATAATTTTTCGACAAATGGCTTTCGTTGAAGCGCATGTGATGAGAATCACCGCTTGGTTTCTAAGTACAATAGACATTTTAATGGCTTTTTTAAAAAAAAAGACAAATGTTTTTTGTTCAGCTATGATCAATGGCTGATTAAGGCAATGTTGGAATTGCGTGAAGTTTTTGAATTCTTCTAGGAAACTAGCAGTCCATTTAGCAATATGTCCAGGATATCCGCAACATTACTTTATTGGATAATTAAATTGCTCTCATAAAAATTATTGACAGCATCAGACCGCGCTTTGTTGCGAGCTTGTAAAAAGAGCTAAACTTTCTGTAAGAAAAAAATACGAGACGAATATCGCGTTGAAGTGCGCTAATCGGCAACCTTAAATCGTAAGTTAACCATAGGAAAGTTTTTGGCAGTTTAAATGATTTTCGTCTAACAGTCGATTCTGTGGCTCGCCACCTTGTCAACAATGATGTGTTGATGCAATTTCAGCTCTCTCAAATTAAAGTTGATTTATTAGAAATGGTTCAATTGTTCGATGACCGTTTTATAGTGAAAATTTCTGGCGAATCTATAAAAATCAACTTACGACTGTCACAAGATCTGAAACGCGAGGGCTTGATTGTTTCAGAACGGATGATGAAGATCTAGATGCCTTTTTGGGCTAACTTCTCGAAAGATCTTCGAAAAAGTTTGGCTCGAGCTTTGCCAAGATTCGCCTCTGATATCAAAAAATACTGTTTTCTATGAGCTGACAATGGAGTTTGAAGAGTTCGAACGGAGCGAAGATCTTGAGTGTATTTGGTCTGAAAGGGAACTTGAAGGTTAGCATTTCAGATTGAAACACTTCAGCTGTTTCCGATTTTATTTGCTAAACTAAAAGAATGACAATTACTCGAAATGCTCAGTTTTGGTCTGCCTTCCTTAGAATAAGTTTATTGAGCTAGAGTAGTTGATTTTACCCATGTTTTCAAAATAATATGATATGTATTTTCTGTCCTCTCACATCTTTTTTGTTCTCTCAATTTTTTCAAAATAATATTTTTTTGTCCAATGTTTTATTTTTGTTCCCACTATTGTAAATGTGGAGGAACTTGGTATTCAGGTGTTTTAGTTTTTTCTTTTTTTTTGTTTTCCACGCAACAGCAGGTACAAATAATCATCGGAAAGTGTCGAGTGATATATCATATTAAAACCATTTTAGTCGTGATTCGAACGACATTTGAATATTTAGAGAAAAACGTTTGAAATTTTTGCATTTGTCTTTTTTCGAGCGAGCAGGCCAAAAATAAGTTTATTTACGCTTAGTTTAAGCCGTGAAAACTTAGTTTTACTGGATTTAAGTTAGCTTTTGTTTGTTTGCGTAATTTTGAGAATCAAATCCTTTCAAATTTTTTATTTAAAATTCCTAAAATCTTCGATTTAAAATTTTTCTAACGATTTTTTTTTTTTCGTTTTTCTTTTTCTACAATAACCTTTTACAATTTTCCTATTTTGTTAGAAAAAACTTTTTTTTTTGTATTTTTAAGCTGTGGTCGTATCATTTTGTGCTACTTGCACAGTAACTGGCTATCCTTGTTCTGCTATATCTTTTGTATTGCAACGAGTTAGGAGACTTTTTTCATATAATTAACTTAGTTCAAAGAATTAGCAAAGTTAGAAATGGGAATTCAAGGTTCAATTCATAATGAAGTTCAAATTTCATCTGTCCCCGGCTCACTTGGTCTGGAGTTAACGAGTAAGCCTGGGACGGCAAAGGTATTGGTTTCGTTTCGAATCTGACAGGACCTGTTTTTTTCATACACGAAATATTCCGTTTAAAAAAAATGCCGAGCTTATGTTTTATCTGCTTACTTGCCACTTTGTAGAATTTTTTTGCACTGCGAAATTTATATTGTAGTTGTTTATAGTGTTTTGATTTACTGTTGCTGTTTGTAATTTTACTAGCCTTGATTTCGTACTTTTTTTTGCTATAAATATTCTGCCCAAATGATTTCTGTCTGTATTTTATCGGCTTAGTAGCCATGTGCTGGTGTGGGTGTGAGACTCGAATATTTTGATTTTTTTTTCTCTTTTTGTGTTTTTTTTCGGCTTGAACGGTTTCTGCTAAGGTACTTATGGCTTTTTTGCCACTAGGAAAGTTTTCTTCCGCTGCCAAGTTCTCGTTCTTTTGTATTGGCACGTTTTTTTCTTCAAAACTAGCGTTGTTAATTTTGATAAATCTAATTTTTTTAAATTATTTTTCTGATTTTTTTTTCTCAATTGTATCGCCAGTGGAGTGACGCTCCTCTTCGCCTGTGTGTTGATAATAACACATGTAATCGGCACTTGGAATTTTTCCCCGTAAAAAACTTTTCTTACAAATATGTAAAAAAAATGAACTTCACTTTAATTATGAACGAATTTTTAGTATGTTACGAATTTTCAATGGCCTTCCCACTTGACCTGGCGGTATGTAGTCATTTTTACTGCCGAAGGTCATTTTTACTGTGTTGATAATAACACTTGTAATCGGGACTTGGAATTGTTCCACGAAAAAAACTTTTCTTATAAATATGTTAAAAAAAATGAACTTCACTTTGATAATGAACGAATTTTTAGTATGTTAAGAATTTTCAATGGCCTTCCCACTTGACCTGGAGGTATGTGGTCATTTTTGCTGCCGAATATTGTCAGCTTTATTATCTGTTGTGGGAGTCCTGGCCGGGCCTTTTTTTTCAGTATGTATGAAGCTGAAATGTTTTTTTTTTCCTGTAAAATTCAATTTGTCGGACATTGATTTGTCTGCTCACGTTGTCGCCTGCGTCGTGACACCGCGGATTTTTTTTGCTGTAAGCAATTTCATTGTAATTGTAAGTGTTGTTCATTGTAATTTCAAGGGGAATTGAAAATTTTTTTAAATCAAATTATTTTCGGCTCAACTGGTGTCTGCTCAAAGATTGGCGGCTTTGTTTGTTTCCTCTTCGTAAGTTGTGTTCTGTTGCCAATTTAATATTCAAATATCTGGCATGTTTGCGTAGAATGAAATTTTATTGGGACAGACGAAATTTTTGGTAGACTTCGTGTTTTTCTATTATTTGATTTTTTTTTTCCGATTTATGTTTTACTACGATTGTGTTTTATCGCAAGTGGTGCAATTTTTCTTATCTCAGCTTCTTCTCGGTAGATTTTTCTCAGCAAATTTTGTTGAAGCAATGAAAAAATAATTGCTCGCATGTTGAAAGTTTTCTGGAAAATGTTTATTTTAATCTTTTTTAGTTTCTTGTCGTTAGAATCATTTTCAACTGAACACAATTTCCAGATTGATTCGTTTGCATATTCAGTAAGTTTTTTTTCCGTTTTTTTAACTTTCTGAGTTTTTCCTATTTTGTCATTCTCCGACACAATTCCTCCTACGGTAATATTGTCGCTAACATCGTTTTTTGTTGCAAGTTATCGTGAGACCTGCATAATGTTGGCAAAGTGAGTAGTCTGGCTAAACCGGTTTCGTATACACATATTTTAAAACTGATTTTTAAGCTTTTCATCGCTGGTGTTATAGTATGAACTTTTTTTTCCAAGCTAAGTCGCAAATATTGTTGCGATGCAATTGTTGCGACAAAATGTGTTAATTTTGATCCAGCTATTAAGTACAGCCAATGCTAAGGATATTAACACAGACTGTTATATTACAAATAGCACGTAAGCTTATAGGTATCATGGATCTGTAGCGTAGAGGTAGGGAAAAGGCCAGCAAAAAAAGAGGGTTCGAACCTGGGCTGGGTCGGATGTTTTTAACGAACTTTTTCGTATACTAGTTCAAATGCGTCCGCTCTGTAAATTGAGGTATGTTTGTTGGTAAATTTTTTTTTCCAAATTGACTTGTACTGCTAATGCGTCTTAATTGACTTGCGTCACTTAGCAATTATGTAGACTCATAATTGGCGTGTGTCACTTAAGAAATTTTGTAAACTCAAAGTTTTACTCATTCGGTTCTTCCCAGTAGCGCTGTCGGTCCTACATAGCGTCATACATAGCGTTTTTCCCAGTAGCGTCATACAGTTGTTCCGACCATTCGAAAAATGGGGAGAAATTTTTTTATGTGGGGGTGTTCGAAATTTTTTTTTAGTTTTCGACGCAAAATCGGGTAGCACAAATAATCATCGGATTGGGTCGAGTGATATACCATATAAAAGCCCTTTCAGTCGTGATTCAAACGGCATAAAAAATTTTAAAATTGTCCAAGTGTCGACAACGCAATTAAGTAGCGTTCGTAATATGAAAATTGAGGCTCAGAAAACTTGATTTTTCAAATTCTCGTCTAAAATTCATTTTGCGCTAGCTTGGCCATAAAATGTTCCATGAAAAAATGTGAAAAAATATTGTGCGAAAAAACAAGATTTTTTTTTGAATTTTTAAGTACATTTTTTTGTTATTCATGTAACGAAGCCAACTGTTCACGATTATGCCCAATTGGCTACCTTTCTACGCGTTTGTGTTTTCTCTCTTCACACTATGCACAGAAAAACTACACTAAAATGAAAAAAAGTGTAAAATGAAAAAAGTTTTTTTTTGTTTTTTTTTTAAATGAATTTGGTCGGAACATTATGTGCTACTTCCACATCAACCGGCTATCCGTGTTTTTGCGTTGCATATAATTTTTTATGTTAGTTCTTGACTGTAGAGGCTGAAATTATCAGAAGCCGGGGGAGTCCAAAGAAGAGATCTTCACAAGCGCAGAGCAGGTGTAATAAAGAATGCAATGTGTGTGGCAAGATGTTTAGGAGTACTTCAGAATTGGTAAGACACATGCGAACCCACACAGGAGAAAGACCATTCAAATGTGAGATCTGTGAGAAGAAGTTCACTCAAGAAGGTGGTCTTCGAATACACTTAAGAGTTCACACTGGTGAGCGGCCTTATACGTGTGATATTTGCGGAGAGAGATATACAATACTTCCTAATCTTAGAAGACACCAGATGAATCACAGCGGAGAAAAACCCTTCGCTTGTGAGTATTGTGGGCAAACATTTGCACGGAGAAGTGATGTTGAAAGACATGAACGTATTCACACTTCAGAAAGGCCTCATTTGTGCAATGTTTGTGGCAGGACTTTCACACAGTCAGGTAATCTTAATGTTCACATGAGGACACACACTGGTTCGAAGCCATACCAATGCCACATCTGCCAGCAACCATTCAGTCATGCAACCAGTCTTAAAAACCACGTTTTTGCGATTCACAAAGAGAATACAAACTCGCTAAATAGTAACAAACGCTTCCCTGTCTCTCCAAAAATGCGGTAGCCCCTGGATCTTCATACGTGGAAGTCTTCATCGTACATTCAAAAGCTGAAGAAGGGTTCCCAAATCGAATCTATCCGATCACATGAAAGAAACAAAAGAAGCCTAGAAAACAACTAAATATCGTGTTGAATAACGAAATAAAAAAGCATCACAGGAAAGAATCTGATTTGATCAGCTCGACTGCAGAAGAATACAGGACGTGTTGAATATGTACGATTTGTATCATCTTTATTCGTCATTTCAATTGACGTTTCAAACTGTTTGATCAATGAACTGTTTGAGCAACTGTTTCAAATATGGTTTCAGCAACTGCGTTTGTTCTGTTTTTTTGTTGTCAAGTTTTTGTTTTAAAACTGAATTTCTGGTGTGGATAATTATTTACCGCCGCAATAAATCGAATTTATTTATTTTTTTAAAAAACTTTTATCAGATATTTTGTCAGGTAGGGCCAAAAATCAAAATCAATGCAGCTGATCGAAAGCAGTTCAGCAATATCCCATTTTAGACTTGCAGTTAGAAATGATCTGATTTTTCAGTCTCGATTTGGCAAATAAATCTAAAGCATATCGGCGAATTTATAAGTTGGTTTTAAAGGAGACACCGGTACTTGTTCTGTAGGGTGGAATTGTTGTTGATATCAGATCTGACATATACATCTTTAACGAATGCAGCTAGCTTGAATTTGTTTAACTGTTTTTGAAGACGCTGTGACGCTGAGATCTAAAATTTTACTGGATCTCCTCGAGTAGCTGGATTCGGATCACTCACTGTTGAATATTCAGCATTATGAAAGTCCTAGGAAACAAACGTCGAATTTGAGGTTGGCTTGTAATTTTTTCAATATGAAGATTTTTCAAGCTAGTGTCTATCGGAGCTGTTTTTTTCCGCTTTGTTTGCTGTTCGCATCGTCTGAACTTTTTTTTTGCAGTTTATTGCTGATATTGTTGTGCGAGTCCTCAGATTTTTAATGCGTTTTTTTTTCTAATTTGCTCTAGCATTCTTGCTCGCAGAATCGGCTCTTGTTTTAGTGCCAGAGTTATCTGGACTTTGTTTACAGTACAAACTAGTTAGACCGAACATGAAGAATATTTACTACCCTATTTTTTCTAATGAATCTTTTCAACAACACAGCATCTTTTCTTGTACATAACTGAAAATGACTTCTCAAAGCTTTCTCAGTTGCTGTACTTTGGCCGAAAAGTCTTGTTTTGGCTTCAGTTTTGGCAAGTTCTTGTAGTTCCACCGGGTCTAATTGTCCCTTTTTATCAGGTGCTTCCGCATTAACCTTTAATCATTCTATCAAGTTTCAACAGACATCACAAGTAATCTTTATTTATCTTATCGAATTACAAATTCTGAGCGAATGAAAGTTGGTAAAGGGACTGACGGTATTTATCTGGGACTGGCCAAACTTCATAAATGTTTTTTGAGACAACCGTTTATATTTTTCTACTATAGGCAGTTTTGGCTGTGTGCGATTTAGACTTGGCTTTCACATTCACTGTTACTACTTTGTACTTACTGTACTTTGTCACTGTACTTTGTCATTAAGCAGACAAATACTATATTAACTAATCAGAATCGAGATGAGAAAGCAAACCGACATTCGAAATGAGTAATTTGAGTTTTTTAAATTTTGTTTGCATAACGAAAGAATTTTTGCACGTTTAAGCTGTATCGCATATTGCAATGCTGAAGAATTTTTTCGATTCTCTGTTTATGAAAGCTCGGCTTTTTGAAAGACCCAATAGTAATGCTGCGGCAAAGCATGGGAGGGGAGGAGAGCAGTGCAGTGTAGTGTAGTGTAATGAAAAGATTGGATTCATTCATCTACACATGTAACGGGCGTTTTTTAGTGCTAGCGATTATTTCAGCAAGCTTGAACTTAGTTACTTAATGATGCGGTGTTGTCCCAGGGCCGCAAAATTGGCCTACAAATATGAATTTCCTAATCTTTTAAGTTTCCGAACTATGCCGTTATTTCTGATTTTTCTCAAAAATTTTCAAAAATGTTGATTTCAAAAGCTTCTTAAAAATGAAAATCCTAACCCTATAGTCGGGTGCTGTCAGGGTATTCTCAACAGTTGGAATTTTGGCCTCTAAATATGCCTGCTTCTATCCTTTAAATTCCCGAGATATGACGTCTTCTCAGTTTTCTTACGCTTGCGATTAGCAAGCGTTATCAAACAGGAGTATCGACTTTTTTGTTTGGGTTAACAATTACTTTAACAGAATCACTTGAATAGGCAATTGAACCCTGAATAGTCACTTGAACCAGAATCCTTTGCACCTTTGATTTATATTAAATCTAAAGACATGTTGAATCGCGCATGTGGCGAAGATGTAACGCCCCTGCCTATGAAGACAAAAGTCAATGGTTTGAATCCGGCCAGGACTTGTTTTTTTTGTAAGCGCAAAAGTGTCTGCGCGTCAAAAAAATTTTGTCGGACTTGTTGGTCTGCATTTTGTGTGGTTAGTGAAGTGGGCACAACCATGCTTGAGACGACAAATCCCAGAAGTTCGGTCGCAGCCGGGACCTGCTGTTTTTGTCGCAAACAGAAAATTTTCGAATATACTGTACTTTCGTGTCTGCTACTCTGTCGGTTTAGATCCCGCAGAAAGCTTAGGCTTCAAACTAGCGGTTTTATGTTCTTTGAAAATTTTCTAATGATGCAGGTAATTTTGTTACAGGATTCTTCAATCCGTTTTTGTAATTTATATACTTTTTTGGCAAAAAATGATGTGTTTGAATTTTTTTCAAATTTTGATCTGACTTTACATTTGATGGTAATCATAGTCATACATTTTTGTTTCTCAAAGGATGCGAAGCTATGCTTTGCCTGTGTTTGAATTTTTTTAAATTCTTATATTTAAAATATCTGACAAAATTTGAGATTCCGAACCCTATAGTGGTGTTCTGTCAAAGTAATATCAGGGGTTGCAAATCTTGCCTCCAAATATGTCCGATTGAATTCTTTAAATTTCCGAGTTTTGAAGTTTTTTTTTTAATTTTTTTTCAATATTTTTAAAACTTTTGCTTTAAAACACTTGACAAAGTTTGAAATGCTGAATCTTTTTGTGAAGCTTTGTAAGGGTACTCTCAGGGGTTGGAAGTCTTGCCTCCAAATTTGAATGCTCAAAAAATAATGCTAAAAAATCCGAGTTATAACGTTTTCTATAATTTAAATGAAAAGTTTTCGCAAGAATCATATAGTTGAGGCTGTCAAGGTAGTGTCAGAGGGTGGCAAGTTTTGCCTCCATAATTGACCGCTCAGCCTTTTATATTCCGCACTCATGGCGTTTTCTATGTTTTTACACAAGCAAAGCTTGTGTGTTATTACGAACTCACTTTTTTCCAACCTAAGTCGCAAATATTAGTGCTCTTTGAAAGTGCTCTTTTGTTGCTCTTTTTGAAAGTGCTCTTTTGTTACAGTATATGCATAAGATCAATAACCAGCGATTAAGTACAGCAAATGCTAAGGATATTAACACAAGTTATTGTATTACAAATAGCACTTTAGCTTCAAGGTGTTATAGTTCTGTAGCGTAGAGGTAGGGAAGGAGACCAGCAGCAAAATCAGAGGATTCGAATCTCAGTACGGTCGCATGTTTTTAATGAACTTTTTCGTAAACTGGTTAAAATGCGTTCGCTCTATAAATTGAGGCATGTTAGTTGGTAAATATCTTTTCAAATTGACTAGTACTGCTAATGCGTCATAATTGGCTGGCGTTTACTTTCCATTATATAGACACCTAATTGACGTGTGCCACTTAAGAAATTTTATAGACTTCAAGTTTAACTCATTCAATTTTTCCCAGTAGCGTTGTCGGTCATATTTTTGATTGTGCATGCGAAGTGCAACTTCGGCTCTGTGTTGTCAATTTGTTCCTTGTCTCGATTCTGATAGGTTAATATAGTTTTTATCTGCTTACCGACGAGTATGAATACGCGGTTGTCAAAATACTGCTACGTAACCCTATTTCAGCAAATAGTCATTTTTTGTGAGAATGACAATGATTCAACGAAATCAATTATATTTTAGGAAGATTTCACGTGTTGTGGCAGTTGACTGTAGACATATTGTGAAGGTAAGGATTTGATCCTAATGAGAATGTTTTTGTGGCTGCTGTGGCTGACTAATTGGATGTTTTTTAAACAGACTTGCAACTCGAAAAAACTTTAAATAAATAAGTGTTTTTGAAAGAGTCGAAATGTAAAATTTGTCGAGCTAATGTTCTCTACTCGTCGCAAAATATGTCACATAGAGTTAGTACATTCAAATAATTTTTGAGACCTGTTTTTCTAGCTGTTTTGTCAAATATGGAGACATTGACTGCCTGGAATACAGGTGTCTATTTGGTTTTTGAGCAAAAAAATTAATTTGGAAAAAAGCTAGACAGACCTATTAGCTACAGCATTTAGCGTCTATTCAGAATTTTTTAAGAAGATTTCACTAAAAAAAGATATATTCCTTTTACTTGGTTGCGTATTGGTTAATGTTTCCATCGAAACAAAAACTGACAATTTTTTCATGAATTGAAAATGCGCCCATACTCAATCATTATTAGCCCCTTTTTCTATATATACAGCTGTTGTCTTGTAACTGAATGTCCGAATCACAGTGGAATGAAGTCAACATTGTATTGCGTGTCATGGTAAGTGGGTAAAAAGTGCTCGTAGCTAGTCACATTTTGAGTTGGCGCCTGTAAGCAAGGAGATGAGACATAATCAAGCTTCTGATTTTTTCCGAACCCACCCACCCCCGCCAACATTTGAGTTCAATTATAATAAAAATCTCAAACTTTTCAAAAAGCTATGAAATTTTGCATGGTGAACAAATCCAAAAAACAACTTGAAAATTTCCAATAAATTTCCAATAAAATTTCCTTGAAAATCTGATTTGACGTTTTCGCAGACAATAACTTTTTTCAATTTCAAGGAAATGCATACGATGCAGCAGGGAGTCATTAAGCAAATTATTATTTTGATTAAAGCCTCTAGATTTGGCAGTGTGGTTTTTGAACAAAGTCAAAAAACGGTCAAAATATCAAAAAAATATGACTTTTTCGCGAGATATATTTTTTTCAAATATCTGGGCAAGCTGGTTTACGACGGGAGGATTCACACAACCCTTTCTCTCAATGAACTTTAAATCCTACATTTGGGAGCGTAGTTTTTGAGAAAAGTTATAAAAAACGGTCAAAAAATCAAAAATTTCCTTTTGTGAGAACCTTAATTTTTTGTGTAAAAAATTTGCTGGTAGCCTTTTAAGCAAAGGAGATTGCCATAACCCATTCATTAGATTGAACCCAATATCTTAGATCTGACAGGATTTAGAAGGAACTTTGCAGGAAAAAGTAAAATAAACAAAAAAAAGTTCAACAACCGCAGGCAAATTTCATTACA